GTGAGTGAGTGAGTGAGTGAGTGAGTGAGTGAGTGAGAGAGAGAGAGCCTTTTGTTGTTTGTTTTGATTTATTGATTTTATTCAACATATTCTCACAATGTGCTCTGTTGCAGTCTTACCAGTTCATTTCTGTGTGTGTTGTACGTGTGTGAGAGAGAGCCCCTTTTGTATTTTTTCCATTTATTGATTGGTGTCTATTTTGCACTCCTGATATTCTAGAGAGTCACCCCTTGATTGCTGCACACTTTTTTTCTGACCAGTGGATGATTTTTAGTTTGTACCACCAAAAGATTCACTGAGTTTTCACATTTTTTCGTATTTCCCATTCATTTCCTATGTCGGTCATTTTTGACCGCGAAGAAGTCAAGTGTGACTATTTTTTTTTTGACCCTTTAACATATCCGAATCATGTCCATGATTTTTGTGTGTGTTCATATTGCTAATGTGACAAACGTCACTAAGTGTCATCTCATTCCGATGAAGCTACGATTTTTTAAAATTAAAAATATACAATTTTTCGGTCAAAAATGACCGAAGCGGGCCAGAGGGTTAAGATAAATGAAAACACATCATAATGATAAGATGTAGTCTTATGAAAAAAAACGAACTAAATCCAAAATAATAAACAGGATAGCATGAAAGACAACCTTGGGTTATGTGTCCGTCTAAATATTTGAAACTTAAAACAGTTGAATGATATGTAATGTGATTTCCATATCCATAAATAAATAGGATATTTTGAAAATGTTTCTTAAAAGCTGTTTACTTGATATTGAAATTGATATTGCATTTTGCAGTGTCTAACGTCAGATTTTGTGGTGAAGAAAATAACTAAAGAGGATATTGCTTTAATATATTCCTCCAATTTTACAAGAAGCCGTGAGACCCACATTTAGAGACGTAACTTTATTGTGTTAAAGTCATTTTTATTTGGTGCTGAAGAAATGTAAAATCTGTGTACTGTAATCATACATTAATGGACAGAGTTAATCATATATAATCTTACATATGATTGTTGATCTGCTAAGACAATGTTTTTTTTATTTTTAATTAAAAAATAGATAAAACAAGATATATATTACCATTACATTATTTAATATATATTAAATAATAATGATTAGGCATCCAGACAGATCATTTCATGCTGCTTATACTACCCTGCTGGAAAAAAAACAAACAAAAAAATATATATTAAATAATAATGATTAGGCATCCAGACAGATCATTTCATGCTGCTTATACTACTACCCTGCTGGAAAAAAAAAATAATAATAATAATAATAGACACCATCTTAAAATTTGTAATGATTTACTGATTTTAATGGAAACTGTAACGGACCCTGTGGGTTTCTAAAAAAAAAAACAATATACACCATCTTAAAATTTGTAATGATTTTACTGATTTTAATAGAAACTGTAATAGGCCCTGTGGGTTTCTACTGGTAATTAGTCAGCTTCTATTGGTGGCTTGTTAAAACCACTAAATCCTAATGGAATATGTCCCAAAACACACTACAGAAAACCATTTTTTTTTTAATGATGGTTTGTAATGTTTGTAATGGTATTAAACCATTAGAATTTATGTGGTTTCTATTGTTTTTTTGTTTTTTCAGCAGGGTATACTGGGCCATGGGTGTGCAGGATGATTACTGACATACAGCAGGGTGATCACACCGGAGTAAAGAGGTTAAGGAAACTTTAGACTAGCATTATGGGAACGTTAAAGGGGTCATATGATGCAATTTCAATTTTTCCTTTCTCTTTGGAGTGTTACAAGCTCTTGGTGCATAAAGAAGATCTGTAAAGTTGCAAAGACTAAAGTCTCAAATCCAAAGAGATATTCTTTATAAAAGTTAAGAGTCAACCACGCCTACCTGAAACGGCTCGTTCTAACACGCCCCCACATGTCTACGTCACGATGTGGGAAGATTTGCATAACGCCGCCCAAATGTTCACGCAAAGAAAGAAAGAAGGTGTAACTTTTATTCTCGCTGTAGTATTGTTGTTGCCGCCGCCGCCATGTCGTGAAGGCACTTTGTGTTTCGTTGTGAAAGCGAAAATTCTTTGTTGGCCTTCCAAAAGAGGACGATATCCACTTCGTCATGCCTGGAGCTGATCCGTGCTGGTCGCTGAGGAAATACATCAAATTTGCGCTGTGGATCACCGGATCGGC